ACTGCCCTACCCAACAAGTGGCTCTCAGTCAATGGGCACTCCACCTGCACTTTGAGAATTGAGAGTTGTTGACAAAATTTTTTCCCCCTCTGTGGCCCTCTCTTCCTGCCATATGTGTTGTGTTCTGGTCAACGGTTTGCCATGAGAGTATAATTATTGGAGGAAGAAAGTTGAATAACGCACTGGAGCTTAGTATGCAAGATGCAAGAGGTCTTCAAAGAAAGTGTCCAGAATCTAGATGTAGAAGCAACTAGGTAACTGTGGAAATCTTTTGACCTTAGGGAGGGCCTGAGCACATCTGAGCCCAGGGGGTAAAACCTTATAATTACAGGTAAGAGAAGCCAAGGCCAGAGCAAGTCATAGCTTGAGGGCATTGGAAGGAACCAGAAGATCCACTGCTTAGGAGAGCCCGAGGCTGGGGACAAGCTCCTCTTCTGGCCAAGCCACAATATTTTGCTCTCTAATTTTGAAGATTTACAAATGCTAAAGAAAGATTCTGTAACTGCTTCATATAATCATTAGAATATCTTAAGGAAGGAAAAAGAACATTCTACCTAGCATCCCTTACCTTTAAGGGATTCACTCTCTGCTCAGGTTTTGTTCTTTTCTCCGTAGTTCAAGTGGATTCATCTGGAGCACCATCCTGCCTAGTGGGCTATAGATCTGAGGCAGGGACAGGGGTCTAGAGAAGCAGGCACTTCCTGGACGTTCCTGCCTGTGGTCTGGCAGAGAGTTGGGGAGGCACCATCTGAGGACCTACAGTGGTGAAAAGGAGAGCAAGTCACAGAGAGGAGGCTGTGGATAGCATGCAGCAGGCAAGAACTAGTGGGGAACCCCTGAACCCGTCCATGGTTCACATGGAGCTCTGTGTGAACCAGTACCTGTATTTGAGTTAAATGCTCCTATGAGTACGTGGCCTCTCTGGGCTACCAAGGTCACCCAGAGCAAGGCAGGGATCCAGCCCGCTCGTTCTCAAGTCATGAAATCTCCACTGCCTGAATCAGGAAGCCGTTTTAGAGATGATCCTTGCCCAGTATCCTCATTCCACAGATGGGGACATTGAGGCTCAGGGAGAAGAAGATGTGCCCACAGCAGTTAGGATTTTGGTATGTTTGTCCTGCCATCTACTTGTATCAGGATCAAGTAGGAGTGCTGGTTAAAATGTGGATTCCTGGGAGCCGAGTTGGACTTATGAGATTAGATGCTCCGGAAGTGCACCTAGGAATCTGCATTTTAGCAAGTATACCAGGTGATTCCTAGACACTCCAAATTTGAGAAGAGCTGGTCTAGGTTCAGCATGGACCCTGCAGAAGGACTCCTGGCTCCTGGCTCAGTGCTGACCCTGGAGGACTGCCAAAGCTGGTGACTGTGGAGAAGGACTGATCCAGGAGAGTGAACTGGGGAGCTACCAAGAGTGAGGCTGTGTCTCCATTCTTCCTGCAATTTGAGGAGGCCTGGTTGCCTTTTTTTCAGACTAGTTAAAAAAAAAGAAATTAACCAAATGGTTCCGTTTGCCTATCCGGCACCATGATGTTTAAATGAATGTGTCTTGAAACTGTTACTCCCTGAACTTTAACTGATCATTTGACAGATGAAAAAAGCTCACAAAGTCCTCCTCTCTTTTTTAAGTTAATAGCTCCTCTTTAGTCTCCAATACTGCATGTGTAACAGTTTAACAGATTGGCACGCAGCCTTCTAGGGCGTTCACATCTAAAACAAGCTGAAATTGCTGAAAACCGCAAGAGATGATCTGTAAATCTTAACTACAAAGATTAAAATGAAAAGAATCAATCCTTTTTGTTGTTTTTACAATGACTTAGCTCTTTACTGATAGTTAAAACAATAGTTACCTCTTGCTATAAAGTGGTGTGCATTGTCTTACATTTTACTATGTGAAGACTTGTCTTAGCATTTTAAGCCGGATTACTTTGGGATGTCCTAGGACCTCAGTGTGACTAGAAGCTAGTTTCTAAAATTTTAATTTTCAATTATAAAAAGTCAATAAAGAGTTCACCAAGTTACTAATAAAGATTAAACAAAAGAAGAAGTGTTTTTTTTTCCTTTAAAAACTCAGCTTGTATGTACATGCTGCTTTAAAACATTTGACAGGGATTCAGGACAGAGATCTGATGCCGGCTCTGCCCTACATATGCTGTGCCAAGCTGGACAAGGCACTACCCTTCTCTGGGCTCAGTTTCTCCTTCCGTAGTTTAAGAGGGTCAGACAGGTGATTTCTGAAGACCTCTCCAGCTCTGAACGTTTCAGGGTAAAGTATCCAAGAGGGTGATGAAATGCCCCACAGTGTGGGAGGGAACAAATATGTCATGATTTCGTTCCAATTTAATCTGTTTCACATTTAGTGTGGTCCAATCTGAGGCAGGTCCTCCGTGGAACACAGATGACTCACTTCCTGTCCTAAGTGGGCCTTCTCTGAGGTGTGGAACAGATCCTTCCTTTAGACATCAAGCCAGACAAGGGGATCAAGTCTGTGGGCCTCTGGACAAATTCAGCATGCTCTTTATCTGTCTCAAATTAAACCTGGTAATCAGCACACACACACACATGCACACACACACATGCACACACAGACATTTAAGGACACAACAGTTTAGAAGGTAGGTGTTCCTGAGAAGTGTGCCCTTCAAGTTTTTATGAACACAAGTGCAATTGAAATGAAGATTAGGGCAAACATTTTGTCAAGTGACAGATACCTTTTGTGTAAGTAATTATGAAGGCTGGAAAAGCCCAGCATATTTGTCACCTCGTCCAGGGAGCCTTCCCTGACTGCTACTGACTCCTGATGCCTTCACTCATCTGCCCTCCCACTGAATCCCGCTTTGCTTTAAGAGCTGGGCCAGCATAAGAAGGTACAGAATTACACTCTTAAAGCCACAGACTCCTAAAATGTTAGAGCCAAAAGGGAATTTTGAAATGTCAGATCTCTTCACTTCACCTTTATCATTCAATTTATTCATCCATTCACTTAACAAGTATTTACTTAACGACTACTAGGTGTTAAGCACTGCGCTAGGCAGAATACATAGTGCAAAAACAAGGCATAAAAGGTTCCTACTCTCATGGAATTTACATTTTGTGTGTGCAGGGAAGGCGAGTCATAAGCAAATAAGGGAAATCTGTGATAATTAATAGGCCGATGGAATGAGGAATTACCAGTCAGGGAGGGAGAGCTAATTTAGACGGGATAGGCAGAGAAGACTTCTGTATGGTGACATTTACACAGGTATCTGAAGAATGAGAAGGAGCTATTGATGGTAAGAGCTTAGGGATGGAGAGAAAAAGTAGCTGGTGAAGGTGGATGCTGAGGAAGAGTTGAGAGGAGAGACGGGTCAAGAAAGGTGTGGGACTAGGATGGCTGCCATGGGACGCAGGACAGTGGGTGGTTTCAAATAAATTTTGGAGGTAGACACACCAGGCTTGTTTCTGGATTGGTCAAAGGGGTTGGGAAAGGGATCAAGGGTGACACCTTATCTTTAGCCTGAGAACTGGGAGGAAGGCTACATGGAGATGGGAAGATTGAAGGAATACAATCCTGCTTTCGCAAGAAATCCAAGAAACCTATTTTGGCTGTAGTAAGTTTGATTTTCTTATATAGATATTCTTAATAGACATTCTAGCAGAGATCTTGGAATAGGCATTGATTCTTCTTGAAAGGCCCTCTAACTATTTTTTTAAATGAGTGCATCTGGGTTGTTTTGTTATTGTTGTTTCTTTATTATCGTTTTTAAATTTTATTTTTAGTGGGGAAGTAAGTAGGTTTATTTATTTATTTAACGGAGGCACTGGGGATTGAACTCAGGACCTTGTGGAAGCTAAGCAGGCACTCTACCACTGAGCTACACCCTCCCCGCAGAAACACCCTCTAATTATTTCTAAGGTGTTAGCTTTTATCTCCTGAATTAGACCAAAATTCTTCCAAAGGCAGGTAGGCTCATATTTCATATTTCTTATGTCTCCTCCATAGAGTTCTGAGTGAGAGGAAAGTAACACAATTCTGACACCCTCATGTTCTGGGATTAGATAGATTTGGTGTGCTGAGTCTGCTTGCACTGCCTCCCAAGAGACACCTGCTAACATTTCAGAAATATTGGGGGTTGACAGTTAAAGTATCCTTGCATTAGGCTATGGCAGTTTCTTACACATGGAATTTGGCAAACCATAACAATCAGGACTGTTTTCGTCGCAAAGCCAGGTTACCAGTACATCTCAGTAAGACACAAGTTACCAACCAAATGCCCTTTGAGGACAGGAAGTAACCTGTATAAGTGATTTGTCCAGATCTAGAAATATTTCTCTTGATGAAATACCAAAGCATGCTGTCCCCTTGCTAGGCTGAAATTAAAACTTAAGGAAGCCCAGAAACTTAACTGTCTCAATATTAAAATATATATATATTCAGGTTTTTATATATAGATATATACACACACACATATATATACACACAATATATATAGTGTATATATATAAATACATATATACAATATATATATTATATATGTATATTACAATATATTCAGCTCCCTTCTCCCTCTCTCCCATAAATATTTTAAAATTTGGATGATAGGAAAAGCCATGATGGACTTTATACAGTCTGCCTTGAGCTGAAGCCAAATTTTCCCCTCTATTTAGGGAGTGATACATCCCCTTTAAAAGAGGAAGCTCTAAGATGTCAGCTGCCATTGTAGAGGTTCCAGCCCAGTGTTGCTACATCTTTTGCTTTTTCAAGAGAAGCCAGAAGTCTGAGTTTTAATGAGAAACTTCCCAGCTGCTAAAAGTTGACTTAATTTTTTTTTAAAAAAGCACTGTGGGTCAAAAAAGAAAAAACAAAACAAACAAAAAACACTTGCACAGTCTTCATCGGGCCCCAGGGCTGCCGGTGTGCAAATCTGTTTGAACTTATAGATGGTCATCCATCTGGGGGAAGGGAGAGCCCCCTGCCCCGAATATGCCTGAAGTCAACTTTCCTGTTAACCCTGGCATGTGGCATTTAGACATCAAATTTATTTGATTAGGAAACGTTGTTTAAGTGATGTGCATGCATGGTGGAGCAAGTGCACATTGATTAGATTTGTTCTTCCTGCTTGGCTGTGGGCTCCTCTAGGTAAGCACCATGACGGTATTTTTGTCTCCTCCAAAGCATGGCATCCTGAGGACAGTAAATAGGAGCTTGCTATGGAAGGAGCCTTGCAGACACTTGCTCAGTCTCTTGAAGAAATCGGTGCCCAAAGGGATGAAGTCACTTGTCCTGGGCCTCAGGAGTGAATTAGTAAAGAACTAGAACTAGAACCCAGATCTCTAAACAGAGGATCCTGGGGCTGGAGAGGACCTGGGGTTTTCAGGAAATATTTGCTGAACTGATGAGTATGTAAAATAGTGACAGAAAGTTCAAGTGAATGTATAAATGAGTGAACACAATCTGAAATGACCAGCTGGGTTTATGGAATGCAGTTTAAAGTAAGGATCACGTGAGCTGGGACTTGGTTTTAGTTTTTCTACTCATGATCATGTTGCCTCAGGCATGTCCTTTATACTCTCTGGTCCTTGATTTTTTTTTAATCTACAAGCTGTCTTATATCTCAGTGTTATTTCAAAAATTATAAACTAATAGCAATAGTCAAAATCATTGAGTGCTGCATGCCAGCCATTGGGCTAAATGCTTTACATGAATTTTGTCCATGCTTATTATAATAGTTCTCTGAAGTGAGCACTGTTTTTATTACCTCCATTTCATAGATGAAGAAACTGATGCACAATATTATAACTAATCTGTCCAAGTTCATACAACTTGTAAGTAAACAGCAGATGAGATTTGAAGCTAGGCATTATACTCTGGATTTATAATAGCAAAAAACATATTGTGAGAAATAAAAGGATGACACAAATGTATGACCAGAACGTTTTGGGGAACTTCAGTGCCACAGCATTCCTAAGGCTCTTGGAAGGAATGATGTTCAGAGTGGATACATTTTTTTCCCTGTGTTTCACAGTGTAGAATTGACATTAGCATCAACCTGAGTATTGGAATAAGCCTCCGGGGAACGTTTTAGGGTAACTGAGATCTGGTTTGCAGTCATAGAACTCCTTTGGGTAACTTTGAGCAGATCCTCTCAGTTTCTCTATATATGCTCACGGACTTGAACACACTAGAAATTATTTCAAAGGTTCTATAGGATTTGATAAGAAGCTAACAAGAGTCAGATTATTTTGGTTGCAAATTACAGAGACCAAACTCAAAGTAGCCCGAGCCAAAGAGAGTATTTATGAACTCAGCAACAGAAAAGCCTAAGTAGTCAGTAGTCTTACTTGAGGCTTGGATGTATCCAGGGGCTCAGATAATGTCGTCTGGGTTTCTTCTCTCCAGCTCTCTCCATGGATGGGCAGGACGATCACCTGTAAGCCTCACATTTATCAACTAAATAAAGCCAGTGGGAAAAAATAATCAACTTCCCTAAAAGCAGAAAAGTCAAGGTAAGGAGTTGGATTGATTTGCTTTGGTCTCATATTCACATTCGTCATG